TATTCCTAATCTGGTTCCGAATTTCTTTCTTTTTCTCTCCCTCCCTCCTTCCCTTCCCCACTTCCTTCCTTCTTTTTTCCCTTCCTTCCTTCCTGCTTTACTTATTTATTTACAAAATGAACTCTGCATTACAGCTTCTGCTTTGCTCTGGCACTCATCAGAATTGGGTAACAACTTCACACAGAAAGAATATATAGCATATAGTATATAAGGTATTATTTTTTAAAAATAATTTTATTCCTAATCTGGTTCTGAATTTCTTTCTTTTTCTCTCCCTCCCTCCTTCCCTTCTCCACTTCCTTCCTTCTTTCTTCCCTTCCTTCCTTCCTGCTTTACTTATTTATTTACAAAATGAACTCTGCATTATAGCTTCTGCTTTGCTCTGGCACTCATCAGAATTGGGTAAGCTTTAAACTTTCCGAGTCCCAGTTTCCTTATTTGTAAAATAACATCAGACTGATCATTTCTAATTTATCTTACACCTTTGAAATGCATAAAAATGCACAATGTAATTGGACATTCAGGGTGTTTGACATAGATGGCCCAACACAATTAAGTGAATAATCATTATTTCATTAAAACATAGAATTAGTAAGGCATGTTTTCACTAAGAATAAATTCTTCAGCCATATATATTTAAATCATATCAGAGATAATTTCCAGTTTTTTACATTAACATGATGCTTAATCTCTCTAATAAATCCTATGGTTAATTTGGCTTGCATATTGCTCTCAAGTTAAAGACAACATAGCACCTACCTCAAGAACACAGGTAACTCAATGAATGCCATTCAGCATGAGTGGTTTGGAGAAGAAAAACAACCCCGTATCCCATGAGATTCTTTAGCCAACTCAGCCATCCTATCTGACAGCATTATATTTTGTGCCAGATATTGGTACTATATAAACTTACACATTCAAAGCAAAAGTGTAATCTAGGACCATGAGAGAAAGCAGGAGACAGACATTGCTGTATATTTTTCTTTAGAGAGTAGACATAAGCCAGGATGGTTCACTATAAAACAATATGTTGCCCATACCACTGCAATGAATTTACATTTTGTAGGGAGAAATGTTTTCTCCAGAAAAACACAGCCTAATGAAAATTTGTTTTTAAAAAGATAGAAGCCAGTCATCCTTTTGTAAATTACATTTCAGAAATAATAGTTCTTCAAGACATCACTAAAGTAGAACGTCACCCACTTTTTCTTTTCAGTTTTCTGACTCTGCAAGCCCTCGACCCTCACTGCAGTTTATCTGCTTTCAGAGGCGCCGAGAGTTTCCTCTGAGCAACCAGAGCTTTATTCATGTCTGCTTCTTTCCCTCTCATATTCACACTGTGCTACTAGAGAGAGCCACGTTAAACCTCCTCCTACAGATAGCTTATGATGTAATGTGAGCCCCTTTATCAATTTTGCAAGAGTCTAAAGCTTACTGCAATTCATATAAAGGCAAGGGTTCTATCATATTACCTTTTTTTATTGAAGGTTCCAACAATCTTTGTGCAGCTGGAGTTGTCTCCTCCACAGACTCCACACTTGTCGTACTGCAGCTTTGAACCGATGATGCCGTCGCAGCCCGTTCTCACACACTTCCCCCGGACACAGACGGAGTTACTGTACGGCCTACATTCAGTTCCATCCGTCACCTGAATCGTGACAAACACGTTAGCAGTGGGAAATATTCGTACATAGGTATATTTAGTTCCTTTGGTACTCCAGCAAGTTCTAATTTGTCATTTTTGAGTTTGATTGGAATAGATGGAAAGATAATACCCCCCACCAAAAAAAACAAAAAACAAAAAACAAAAAACCAACACCATAATTTCCAGGAGTATCTAACTGAAAAATCTTTGACATATTGGCAGAAAACAGATCTGGGATAAATCTAGGTTATGCACTTTCTCTCTTAAGCTTAATTCCAAATGTGATAGGAGACCAGAGATTCTCATCTCCATTTGTATACGCATAACACGTTCCTATAGTATAATTCTGGCTTTTGACTTTGATAGAAGGAATCTTTTCACTTGGTGTTTGGGAAAGCTGTGTGGAGAGCTGAGCACAAGCAGGCTCCCGAATGCAAAGATCCTTCTTTGTTGCATAATTATTATTATAATAACAAATTTGAAAATCTACCTTTGACATTCAAAAGCATGTCATGATTGGAGAGCACTCCCTATTGTGTCCTGAACTGTAAGACACCAGAATGGAGACAATAGGATCAGTGTAGAAATAGGAGTCTGAGGAAGTCAGAGGAAAAGTACTTACTGGAAGACATTGAATATATTTTGAGTAAAGGAATTAGTATATAGTTAAAAAGCTAGTTATAAAATAGATGTATATAGACTGTGGCTTGTGCATGTGAGTATATCTAACACATATAAATATATACACATATATAAATAAACCTACACATTTTGTATTTGTGTATATACAAAACTCTACCTTTCCATACTCGTGTGTATTGATTGAATGTACGTATATGTGTGTGTAAAATGAAGTAAGATATACTTCAACAGGTTGAAAACTCTCCAGATGGTGGTATTTTCAGGTGATGTTTATGTTTTTATTTCCCTGTAATATTTTTAAATGAAAATTTGTTATTTTGAAATAAAAAGATGTGATGTTTTAAAAATTACTTAAGTTGGACATTAGCTTGTTTTCAATAACATGTCATAAATATCTGAAGGCCAAGTTTCAGAAGTGGTTTTAAATGTAGCACTTGTTTGCAAATTAGATAAACAGTATTTGTAAATTGTTGCGTAACACTGATTGTGAGAAGAAAACTGCTGTATATTTAGAAAATGTTCAGCTGTGAAAAATAAGGAATATCACACACACAAATATTATAATAGAAATAACTAGGGGAACATTGATTCATTAATATTCATTGACCCATTCAAAAGCCTGGGTCAGAGATGATGACCTTGAAACCCATCTTCATTACTCATCAAAGGAATTCTTAAGTAAATGATAGAAAAATAAAAAATTTCTTTGAAGTCCCCTTTACAATTGTTCTCAGACACACTAGTTGTTTTCATGGCTATTTTAAAGTTAAGGTCACACTTCTCCTTCCTTGACAGTGAGTAGCACTTTTCAAAAATAGCCTTTGAAACATTTACATGCTCCATTTATAAAATAATTTGTATTCATTGTATAAAGTTTGAAAATATAAAAATTATAGAGATGAAAACAAAAACCCTCCAAAATCTAACCACCCCCAAAATAATGACTGCTTACATTTGGCATGCACAGCCTTGATTCTAGCAAATAATTTCCACCAATGATGCCTATTGTTTCTGGACAGTCAGTATGTAGTTACCTTTGGAGAAAATACCACGTAGTAGCCAGTGCCCTTGGCTCTGCAGGTCAGTTTGCACACATCCCCTGGCAGGACGCCTGCATATTTGGGAACCCATTCCACAAAGGTTTTGACTCCTTTTGCATCAGACTGATAGCCATTTTTGGCCTCACACTGCTCATGACGAAATGATTTACCTAGGAAACACACATGTTACGTTACTACCTTATCTGTTCTGAAACTTAGATATATTCTTGTGTGCTTAAATAATTTTAAGGAGAAGATCTTAACTTATTTTTTTTTGCACAGCCTCTTTATGCACCAGTGCTGACGGATTTTATCTATGCATAGATTTGAAACTGTTGATTATTTCTTTGAATTCTCTGATTATTTTATTGTTAGCAGTAATAATTTTAAAATCACTCTCACACATTTGTTATTGAGTTGCACATTGGTGGAAGTATGCAGTATAAGGTCAATGCTGTTTCTCCAGCTTCCCCTATTTATTAATTCTAAAATGCAAACTACATGTGGCACATGGTGGTTGCTGACACTTGGGAGCAGCGTACCATTGGGTGGGCAGGGCGTGACACTACAGGAGCGGTAGATGGCCCTCTTCCCTGTGCAGTAGCGGCCATTGTTTCTGGGTGCAGGGTTGTTGCAGTGGCGATAGGCAAACTGTACTCCTCCCCCACATGAGCGAGAACACTGGCCCCAGGATCCCCAAGACCCCCAGTTGCCATGGCTTGATGTCTGGAATAGAAAATAGAAGATATTTTAACTCAGATGGGAGAAAAACATTCAAAATGTATAATACATATGGAAATCACTTGCATTTCATGACACAGTGGAAACTTCATCATGGATATAGTCAAATTTTTACTGAATTTATCATGGTCATGCTCTGGAATTGCAACACATTTCCAATTCTAAACAATTCATCTTTTCCAGCATTTCCCCTCACCCTCTTCCCGCCCCAGCTCCCAGCACCACAGGATCTGAAAACATCACCCTAAGTACTGAGCACACCACAGAGATGGTTTTTCTGAATCACTTTAATTTATGTTTTCCGGTATTGTACGACTCTGTCAATAACCATGGAACCATGCAAACTTTTTATCCAATCTGATCTTGAATCTTCAATGAAGTATATAATGATGAAGGTTTTGCATGAAGCTGGGCCATTATTTGATTGTGTCTGCCTCTCTTTCTCCCTCTTTAGCACAGCAGTTGGGTTATCCTTTTGTTGACATCCCATATCTTGTCTGTGACAGACTCTGCTACGTACGTAAATGTATTTGACCTGGGTGTGGCTTATTTCCTAATTAGATGTGAAAGAAACTGAAGAGCACCTATGCCCCCACCCACGTACTCCCCACAGGGAAGGAAGGAAGAGCCCTTTTATGATACCCTAGGTCTATAGCTCTGGAAACATTCCAGGAGGAAGCTGAGGAACTCCAAAAGGAAGAATATTATAAACTGCTTTGCTGAGGAAATGTGTGAAGAACTGCCTCTGGCTGTCTGTGTCAGGGTATCTGATGATGTAAAGTTGGGTGACAGCATGAAAAGACACAGGCAATGAGCATATGGCAACACTCTTCTAGGGACTTTGCAAATCTTGCGGGTGAGAGTGAACATGTACTTTGCTCAGGCCTTGACAATTAAGAGGCAGCTGACCTAATGTTGGACTGTGTACGTGGTGGCAGACGGGTTTCCCTAGAGCAGTCTTAAGTCACTTTAGCTCTTAAATTTAGATTAACTTACTATCAGGAAAAAAAAAATGATCGTTTCGGAGCTCACCAAATGTTACGAGGACCGTATGTGTCAGCTCTGCTATTATTTCCTTACTGAATTTCAATAAATGTATTCTGATAATTTTAGCAAGAGAAGTTTGAAAGTGAACTTTAAAAAGCAACCTGCAGAGTCCTACTTGGGGTCTTGATTGGACAGAATTTGTGTTATATAATTATTTGCTAAAAGACATAACCTGCAAAGAAATTCCTATTATCTGTATTTTCTTCCAAATTTGGTTACTGAGAATGGCTACTATTGGTAAAAGATGAAGCTTATACCACAGGCTATAGAAACTAAAACAGCATAGTACTGGTATAAGAACAGAGACAGACCAATGGAACAGAACTGAGAATCCAGATATAAAGCCATCCTCATATTGCCTCCTAATCTTTGACAAAGCAGACAAAAACATACACTGGGGAAACGAATCCTTATTCAATAAATGGTGCCGGGAAAATTGGATAGCCACATGCAGAAGACTGAAATAGGATCTGCACCTCTCACCTCTCACAAAACTCAACTCACAGTGGATAACAGACTTAAATCTAAGGCATGAAACTATAGGAATTCTAGAAGAAAATGTTGAAAAAACTCTTATAGACATTGGCCTAGGGAAAGAATTTATGAAGAATACTCCAAAGGCAATCACAGCAACAACAAAAATAAATAAATGGGACCTGATGAAATTAAAAAGTTTCTGCACAGCCAAGGAAACTATCAGGAGAGCAAACACACAACTTACAGAATGGAAGAAAATATTCACCTGGTATACATTCAATAGAGGGCTGATAACTACAATCTGTATAGAACTCAGGAAAATCAGCAAGAAAAAAATCAAACAACCCCATTAAAAAGTGGGCAAAGGACATGAACAGAAACTTTTCAAAAGAAGACAGAATAATGGCCAACAAGCACATGAAAAAATGCTCAACATCTCTAATCATCAGGGAAATGCAAATCAAAACCACAATGAGATATCACTTAATCTCCAGTGAGAAAGGCTTTTATCAAGAAATTCCAAAACGATAAATGTTGGCGTGGATGTGGAGAGATGGGAACACTCACACACTGCTGGTGGGACTGCAAACCAGTACAACCTCTATGGAAAGTAGTATGAGATACCTCAAAGAACTAAAAGTAGAACTGCTATCTGATTCAGCAATTCCACTACTGGGTATTTACCCAAAGGTAAAAAAGGGGAAAAAAATACATTCTATAAAAAAGACATCTGCATTCAAATGTTTATAGCAGCACAATTAACAATTGCAAAGATGTGGAAACAACTCAAGTGCCCATCAATTCATGAGTGGATTAATAAAATGTGGTATATGTATACCATGGAGTTCTACTCAGCCACAATAAAACAATGGTGTTATTACACCTCTTATATTATCCTGGATAGAGCTGGAGCCCATTCTACTAAGTGAAGTATCACAAGAATGGAAAAACAAGCACCACATGTACTTACCATCACATTGGTATTAATTGATCAACATTTAATGTGCACATACAGTAGTAACATTCATTAGGTGTCAGGCAGGTGGGCTGGGGAGGAGGGGATGGGTATATTCACACCTAACGGGTGTGGTGCACACCGTCTGGGGGACGGGCATGCTTAAAGCTCTGACTTGAGAAGGGCAAAGGCAATATATGTAACCTAAACATTTATACCCCCATAAAATGCTGAGATTAAAAAAAAAAGGAAAAAAAAAAGAAAAAATATTTTAACTAGGAAATAAAACCTGATGACAGTGCTCACACATGTCATGGGAATGCACTTGACATCTTGGGTCTCCAGGCACTGGGTGACAAGAAAATCACTTACTGAATAATATTTTTTCTTGGTTTTGTCCACACACTTGCCCTGCAGGCAGATCCTCCCCTTTCCACAAGGTGTTCCCTCCACAGCGGGCAGCTTCTTGGTCAGACAGACCATCTGGCCCTGGCGCACCACGGCACACCACAGGCGAGCGCAGACGTCCATGCCTGGGCACACCGAGTACTCAGGCCCGAATGTCAGGTTGCACTGCTGGGTGGCATCGTAGGTCTGTCCCGGGAGTTCTTCAGGGCCCTGGATCTGCTTTCGTGGTAGGTCTAGCAAGCAGTTGCCTGAAAGAACAATGGAGATTGACCACTGCTCTAGGTTGTGCGTTTCAAATCACTAAAACCATGGATCTAAAAATGAAACGCTCTGGTTTGTGTTGAAGCATGAGTCATCCATGAATCCATCGCACTGTGGAGCTCTGGAGAAGGGATTCTGTGAGGGCCGAGGCTGGGTGCCTCCTGGGATTCACCAACACGCTCCAGGATTCTCAGTGGGCGACATGCTCTGCAGTATCTATAATGATGGAGGTGGGGCTGGCGGTGGTATGATGAAATAAAATTACTTTGCAATTTTAAGGAAACTGAGGAATGTAAAAGATAGATCACTTACCCAATATCACATAACTGTTAGGGTTTTATGTTCAGAGCCTGCCCTCCTCATTGTATACCGTATGGCCTCTGTTTATCATGTGGATATTACTTTACTGCTGAAGGGCAGGCATGTACAAAGATCCCTTAAATGGTGGGATATCAACACCCCCTCTGATAGAAACACCCCCTCTGAAGTCTAATGCTGGAGAAACACTAAATGGCTGAGTGCTGTTGGCCAAGTTAGTTAACCTCTCCCTAATTTATTTTCAAGATCTGTGAAATGTTTCTCTTCTCACTGTGATACAGTAAACATAAAATTAGCTAACAGAGATATAAAGGGTAACCAGAAAAATATGAAACAATGACAGTTGGTTCTATCCTCAACATATTTAACCACATTTTAGATGTATTAGTTATTCTTTGTATTCAGCAAAAGAAAATCATACTCGGATCCTTACGTTGCACTGAGAAATAGAATATTCAGCACATTTTAAGTCTACTGCAAATGTTTTTACAACTACATTTAAAGTTTCTTCAAAGTGAATACCTTAGAATTTGTCAATCTGTGATGGAGGCATTATATGAAAATGAATAAAGAGCAAAATTCCTATTTAACTTCTGAGCCAGAACATTTGAAGAGGTAAAGTTTCTTAAGGCAAGCCAGAAAAAGCATTAAAAATAAGTATCTAGCCAAAGAGAATTCTGGGAGAAAAACATCTAGTTAAAAGAAAACATCAAGTCAATAGGAAAGAATGATAGTAAAACCTCACTAAGCTTTGTTTACAAGACAGAGTAAGATTAGGCACTTCAGAACCCCATGAAAAACGTTATCTTTATTGCTACATAAAAAGGAGGGCTGTGTAAACCAGGGGATGCTTGGCAGATTGCTGATGTTAGAGGACTGTCAACAAATCTCTGAATCAGCAAGAATGTTTTCCAATTCTTCAAAAGTGCTGTTTTAAGAAACTTTTTTATTTTACTAAAAAGCACAGCCTGTAAGGCTGGATAACTAAATATTAGCTAGGAAGCTTTACCCTGTGTGGGTGCACGTGGCATGGGTCTACCTCATTTATCTCACGCCAAAGTAACTTACCGCCTGACTGTGGGTACACAGTCATTGACACCTGTTCTACCTCGCTAGTAGATGATGAGTGAAAAGAAATGTCTAATGCAAACAATTTGAAATCAGCTTACAACAAGGAGACTTTAACATGTGGCATCTCTTTACAAAGCTTAATTTGGAAGTATAATTTCTAGAAATAACACATTTACTTTGTTATTAAAAAGAAGATATATTAGCTCTATAATTTTCCTTTAGAGGTTATACATGTGGTGATGACCTTTTGTTGCTTAAAATAAAAACGTTTGTCTCAGAATTGCCATTATTTTATTACCCCAAAGTTCTTACTAGTAGGATTAGTTGCTGCATCAGTTTCTGTTTACCCCTGAAGAAGTGTACAGTCTATTGATTTCATTTTTATTTTGAATTATGTCCTTTTACAACAAAAAGCAGACATCACTACCAAAGGGCAGACTGGTGCCAAGAAACAACAAAAAAATCAATATCAAGTCTGATTCTGAATCTCACTGTATAAAATATGTAATAGGTAAATAATAGTGGATTGGATATACATTGTCATATTTTTAAATGTATACAATTTGGGGGAGGGGTAAAAAGGGAAATTGATCAATCTTTTGGTATCAGTTATATTGACCTCTAAAGGCATGCAACCTGCTGCTGACTTTTTCCTAATCTGTTTTACTTTTCTTCTCAACCACTTCTTCATAGCTACTTCTCATATTTTTAATTTGTCCCAGTCTGAAAGTCTATCTGGGCTTTGCTGCCAACATTTTGTGTTTGTTCTGTTCCACAAATTGGCAAGTTGCTTCTTCTTTCCTCCCTCCCTCTCCTCCTCCTTTCTTTCCTTCCTTCTTCCTTTCTTTTGTTTTAACATTTTGTGTATAGAGATAGCTTATAAAAGAAAGTCAATAGAAAGTGTGCATATTGCATATATGTTCTTACCATCCACATTACATTAAATGTTTAAAATAAAGCAAAAAATTAAAGCACCAAATGCAGTGATTTGAGATGGACAAATAAAAGCATGTGGTAATCTCTCCGTGGCCACAGAAGTCCACTAATGGGTAATGGAAGGTTTGTTACGCCTCCAGAAAATGGAACAGAAAAATCTATGGTTTTACACGTCTGACTTCTAGTACTGTCTCTCATATCAATGATTAGTGGAAATTATCAGAGCAAAGTTGTTCTTTATCCTTTTCATTTTTTTCTTCCCTATTTCTAGCACTACAGTCATTTCAATCTTCCCTTACTTTTCAGTACTCAGTACTTTTCATGCAGGCATGAAATGGTTTATTTCAGAATTGCCATTACTTTATTACCCCAAAGTTCTCACTAGTAGGATTAGTTGCTGCATCAGTTTCTGTTTACCCCTAAATGAAATTAAGCATTGGCCCAAATATCCATGGCCTAGGAGAAATCAATTAATGTTCCTCATAAAACTCATCCAGAGAAGCCTAACACCACTGCCTGCTCTCTTCCCTTTTGTTTCCTTTCTTCACCTCTCTGCCTTTACACCTCTGCTTTTAAGTCTTTCATTGAATGTCTAACATTAAGAAAGAAACTGGTGCATTTGCCTACTGTTTGATGACTCAGGGCCCAGTGACAGATGAATAAACAAGGGCACCGAAAAAGGAACAGACAATGGTTGCTGACCAGAAGTAACATCCAAGGGGCCTGTTTGTGAAGCTATTAGAGGTATAGATGCACGGTTTAGCAGACGTACTGGCAAGGGAATTAGACTAAAAATTCTCCATGATTACAGGCTGAAGAAAACTTTTTAAAAAATATAGGTAACTATGGCCTTAAAATATACGTCTTATTTGCACACCCTTTTAAAGAATATATTTATTGTGAAAGTCAACATACAACCATAACAGGGTTTGGATTTTATTAATACCACCTTAAAAGCTGATGTTAAGCTGCTATTGCTAGCTTTACAGTCTATACTTAACAGAGGATTCAGAGAACTGGTTTTCCAATATCATTTTATGTCCAAAGTTCTGAGTTCAGTAAGTGGCTATAAACCTAGCTCTTTAAATATGCTAGCTACACGGTAATTTTTCAAAACTATCTCTAGGTTTTCTTTAGCAGCCTGTGTCGTGAGTGCTCTTGAGAGCTCTATGTACTTAGGTGGTGTCCTTTCTCATCATCTGGCACTGTAGACTCAGGGATACAGCAGACACAGCTATCTTTTTTGGCTTTAAGGTTATTAAGCATTTGAGAAAGGAAATTCAATAACCTGCTTTCACTGCAGAATTTCTCTGCCAGTGCTTACCTTTATTTTCGAGGGTCCTACTCCTAGCCAGCTTGCCTAGAGCTAACTTGTATAAACGCTGCAGAATGTCTACAAGTATCTTGGCCGGGGTTGGTGGAGGAGTCCCATGGGGCATGGCTTCTCCTTTTCTGAATCACAAATCTGCAGACACAGTTACTTTAGAGTGAGCACTCCAGCTTTTCGACCATAACCTAATTGCTGCATATTTCTTGTTGGAACTAAATCAGGAAACACTCAGTACTAATGAATTTAAATTTGGCAGTGGTTGAGTGCTACAAATGTCCAGCTACTTATGGCTAATAACTTTAAAAATAAATCAAATACTTTGAATTTAATTTTACTCTGCGACCTCATTTCTCTGGTATTGCTGGAGGTGAGAGGGGGAGGGATAAGATATTACACACAAATGGATTTTCCATTTATAATGTACTCTTTAGGTACCACTGAAAAATTATATAAATTTTGTGACAGTATCTACTTAAATGTAACAGTTGCCTTTGCTGCTTTTATATTAGTCACAATTTAACTTTCCTAGAAAACTGAACATCATTTTTTCCTGTGTATCAATTATTGTATCATGCTGAAATACAGAGGTACTTTCAGGGATCACGCTGGTGTGATAGAGTTTTTGACCTTTTAGGAAATGGTACCAGACTATTGTGCCTTTCATGTTTTTGGGCTAAATTTTACAGCTTCCTGGCTCTCCCCTTATGGTCAAATGATATCACTTCTTGCTCTCAGTTTACCTATCTAAAGTCTCCCCACCCCCACTAGATATGCTATTTTACTTTTAGTTGCCCTGAAAGTTAAAACAGAAAAATAGTAGGTCTGCAAAATATGAATATATAGGCTCTGAGTGGAAACCTAAGTAGCTCACTGGGAGTAAAGTTAAAAAGTTTTATAATATAGTTTCATGATATCAGCTTAATCTTCTAACAAAGATGAATTTATTTGTTTTTCTGTCCTCTTGGGCTTTGATTTTCTTCTTAGCTCTCTCCTAAGTTCTGTAGTTAAAATGTTAGAACCTCAATCATCTCAAAATTGAGTTTGCTAGCTTCCGTGGCCACACTTTCACTTAAATTGACTTAGGTCAGTTTTGAAATGAAATGAGACATAGTTGAGCTTTGCCATTGTGCCACACTTCTTTCTTGATTTTTTATCATTCTGAAATCACTTTATTCATTATAGGCTACTCATAAAATAGAATTTTTTTTGGTTGAAACAAAAGACTGCCTAATCAAACCAACACATTCAAAAGTGAGAGAGTCTATATTGAATGACATAAATTAATAAATAAATAAACTATATGCAGTTTCTGTCCAAAGAATTTTTGGTAATTGAATTTATTTATTTAATATACATCTGGGAAATTCAGATAATTTTTTATCAGAGCAAATAAAGAAGATCTATTTCTACTAAATTATGTTCTTGATTGTTCTCTATCACGAGTCCTTTGGGATAGAAACTGAGAAATTAAAAACTATGTAAATTTGTTGTAATTTTTTAAAAAATCAGAGCATGGACTTCTTCAAATATAGAAATAATGTTAACAAATGAAGACAATGCTGAAAGCATATTTACTGCACATAAAGTAGGATCACAAATTCCATAAACATGAAATAAAGGAATCATTCCAAAATTATGGCAGTAAGGAACAAAATTCTGCACAGCATTGTAATTAGCTGACCTAATACTTGTACAGGAAAAAAAAATTAGTCCCATTTTAGCCGTAAGTATTTGCTGCCTTAGCAACTAAATCCATTCATTTAGTGATTCAAAAGTTAGCTCAACTTCTTGGAATGTGTAACGTGTGATTTTGGAATAAAATATTAATGTTATTTTATTTTCAGAAAACCTGAAAAGAATGAAACAGCAAAAGCAATATTAAAGAGTGGAGACTTGAGATTCTACCTAAGAGGAACCGTATTAGATATTGATCCTATCAATGTAGATGGGAAGATAATAAGGCAATATTAATTTTAGAACTTTATCCACATTTAATCTACCATTGTAAACCCAGCTGAACATAAAATTACCATTTTATTATTAGTATAAAAGTAAAGCTTAATACATTAATTTTAGTATTGTTTCTAAATCTTTAAGATATTGGGGTACCCTTTCGACTAACAAAGAACATTTATTTTATATTGAGAGAAATTTTAACCCAAGCTGGATCTGGATTGATTTTAGGAATAGGAAGACTTAAATGCATAGTGGCAAGTAGCCTTGCTAGTTCACCACTAATATAGCTAAAAATGAATTAATGAAGAGATTTCAGCTATATGGATCAAAAAACCGGGCAGTTGAATTTCTTTTTGTCTAAAATGAATTCAATTTTTCAATTGTTATGACAATATGTAGCAAAAGTTCAAGATGGTCAACACATTAAGAAATTATGAAAATATTGTCATAAACTTTGTGGAACTGGGAAAAAGACAGTTATCGTAGATTCTGTTTATTTGGTATTGAACCATACATCTTAAGAAAATTTTATGGAAAATTATGATGATCAAGAATTTCTGTCATATTCACTTAACCATAAGTTTTAGAAAAAAGACAAATTTTAAAAGAACAAAAGGAATTAGAATGTGTCCATTTCTGTAAGATAAAAAACTTGAACTACATGATCTCTGAAGATCTTTTCCAACCCTAATGTATTTCTCCTCCTGTGTTAATATTATTTTAAAGTAATAAAGAATGCAAGGAAATTTGCAAAGGCTTGTTTCAAAGATTACTTAGGGGTCGATATTTATTATTTCTAAAAATTGTGACTTCCTCAGTATTTTTATATAATTTATAGCACTAATCCTAGTCTTACAGAATTTAATAAAAGTATTCTGTGCTCTTGAACTGTATCTAAAGTACAAAGCCAAAGACTTTCCTTTGAAGTTCTTAAAGAGTTTTCCCATCATTCCGATTGCTTTTCTATTTCTGTTCTGCATGCAGTTTTTACTCCACTTTCAGGAAAATCTGCTGTCATGATGAAACCAAATTCCTCCAGTCAATGCAAATTGAGAGAGCTTCCTTTCTTGGCTTTACGTTGCGGTAAAGAGAAACCGGTAGAATTGTCACCTACAACTTAACCATAGTCCTATAATGGGCGTGTAACAAATAATTCTGAGAGTCATATTAATAGCAGGGAAACCAACATGTCTGCCAAAGTTCTCACAGGAAGCTAGTGGTGAAAGAAGGAATAAAAGCCAGGCTTTCAGGGCACTAGCTAGGCATTCTGTGTGGTCTCCCACACTGCTTCTCCTTTGAACTTTTCAATTCAAAAGCAAAAATACCATAGCTAGAATGCCACCAAGGGCGCTGGCATTACATGCCAGTAGACAATCGATTTCCTTGCTCCTTTTTCTGACACTATCTAAACAACCCATTGTCTTAGAGGGCGAGATGAATGTTATGAAGATGTAATGAAATAAAACTCCCATTTCTCGGCTTATGTTGTCCTGAATGATACATACCATGGCCATCATCCAGGAATTCTGTGATAGTGGCTGAAGTGCATTTGGACCAGGGCTTGGATGCATCAATGCTGGTTAGGATGGAAGACATTAAACGCTTATCTTCTGTGGAACCAAAATTTTCTTCACAGAATTTGGAATCGTCATGGGAGAGGCCAAGTAGGTGTCCTGAGAGGGAAAGAATAGAGGAAGAGAAAATAATGGGTGATGGTGCATTTCTGTTTTCCCATGACAATTGTGCTAGTGCTTGATTTTTTTCACCGAGTGTAGATGACATCATTTTAACTGCCTTCTTACTCAGGGACTGGACCTCTGGGAAACAAAAGCTGCATGTAGTTAGTGTAGCGGTTACTTCTGGTGAATATTTAGATGAAAATTCAAAAATTAATCTAACGAGTGGATGTTCCCATAATTCATCTGGATCACATATGCTCAATGACATGTAGAAACAAAGCCTTACTTAGAATCCAGAGTTTGTGAGACAACTGTGAGATTATGTCATAGCCGTCACCACATATTATTGCGATTGCCTAATTTTCTGCCTCCTCCGATCAAACCCCATGAGATCAAAGTACATCTTCCTCCATACACTGTTGAAACCTCTGTATTTAACTTAATGCTTTGCAAGTTGCAAATACTTGATAGATGGTTTTTGAATGTCAATGACTTCTATTTCCTTAGTCAAATAAATAGGTAGCTATATAAGAAAGAACTAGGGGAGGAGAAAAGAGTGAAATGAAATGAGGAACTTTCAAGTTCCATGCAAATGTAAGCTTGCTTCACCTATTCATTTCTGTTAGTTATTTAGTGAGTTGTGAATGTATACTATTCTCACAAGCATATAACTTATTTTGAAAATATACCTGCCTACATTTAGGAAATGTCTAAAATACCAACATGCTCATGATGGAGTGTTAGAGCTTGCAGAGAAAACAAATACTGCAAAGGTAAGTGATTGTTTAAAACCATTCAGCCAGTTGGTATTTGTGCTTAAGTCTCCCAAACATGTTTCCTGCAATCCCAGCAAATGCCATATTCATTCTATCAAGCTAGATACTATTTCACAGCATAATCACATTCTTATAATCTGAGTAAATTACTTTTTATTATATATGATCAATTTTCATATAGTCTAAGGACAAAATGATATTCTCCAATAAATCTAAAATGCTGTTTTAAAAAATCTGGGACAGTAGTTTGAGCAGTTAGTAGAAACTCTAAAAAGTAGACAACAAATCATTTCATTAATGCTTTTAGCAAAGCTTTCTGGAATGATATACAAACCACTAAAAGGAATGTAGAAAATAACTATAGCAAATTGATGACTGCATTCTCCTTGGGTTCCTGAATGCCACAGGCAGAAACTTTGGCTATTCAATCAAAAGAGTCCAGTGCACACCAATAAAACTCAACAGAGATGAAATATTTCATGTTGGATTCCGGCTACTTTTGGTCAACTTGTTAAATCACCAACACCTCATAACAAAATTGTCCACTGAGCAACTAACTGCTGTTATGGTTGAAATTAAGTGGCTAGGGCTTGGTGACCTTCCAAGTCTCCAAACTTTTATGCTATTTATTCAGATATTTACTTCAATAGTATTTACTAGACAAGAAAGTTTTCTTTGGGAAACTTTCCCACCACCACTTACATTTTGTTTGCATAAATGTGCATTATAGTCTATAAAGTATGTCCCAAATAACATGCAAAGAAAGTTTTCAGAGGTTCTTCCAAGTTTTGAGTAGTAAGTTGAGTTTTCAAGAGAACTCGTGGCTCAAAGAAGAAAGAGAATCTTTCACTTACGTCTTATTAAAAACTACTTACAGTTATTTAGTACATCAAACACTTGTTGATAATGCAGTCTGTGCTTCCTAAACTTTTCCAAGGTAGATTTGTCAGCTAACACTGACAAATGTGGGATTTGTGTGGAAATTTCACACTTGAGATTTTTCCTCTGGCATAGAAGAGAGAGAGGGAAAGTGGCCCAAAGCGACCTGTGCAACATAATATTTATTTGAATCCAGATTTTATACTTAAAAATGTGACTTTTTCATTCTACTTCATAAGATATTCATACTTACTTAATGGAGTAATAGTCTTTTCCTCTAAATCTACATAAACAAATAGTACTTCCATATGCATTTCTATCATTGTATCAAGGGATTTTCACTTCATTTGGAGGGTAGATTTTAGAATTCTGATTTAAAATATAGGCCACATAGCAAACACTAAATTCACTTTGAGAGGCCCAAGAGAGTACAGAGAGGTGAGGCATATAATTTTAAAGATTTCAATTATGTAAGCAAAACAGTTTAATTTTAAATATTTTGGCATAATTTTACAAATCTTTTGGCATGCCATTTGGCATACTATGATGAATTTTATGCTCCCCAAATTTATTAATTTATCAATGTAACTTAATTGCCCCCAAAGATGTATATAGGAAATTCTAGCAGACAAGACTGCCATTCTGGGCATGAACAAATCTTAGTTCCACCTCAGCAAGAGGTAAAAGGAGATGTGAATTTTTTATGATCTCCAAGTATCGGGCAGAAACAGACTCCTTGAGGGTCAATTGAAAGAGACCAACTCTTCTGAGGGTGAGTGAAGGTTCTGTCCCCCATGAAGAAAGTCTGTCAGCTGTCTGGGAGAGGCGTGCTCTCTCAAGGGCAGTGAGAGCCACGGGCGACGTGAAGAACAGTTAAGCACCCAAAGAAACAGGCAGCCAGCTCCAGAGTGGCTGGAACCAGGACACAGTGAGACCCATGTGACTTCCCCTCAGGAGCTGGACAGGATATGAAAGAGAAGATCAATGCGAGGGATATTTGGATGCTCTTCAGGAAAGACGTGACAGACATACTAAAAACTGGGAACAGCAAAAGGAGTGGTATTTTCAGACGTGAGCCCCCAATCAATTATGCTAAGACATCTATTGTCAGTTTGAAATTGGCTAATACTGTTGAGCCCTGAAATTTCAAGGTACATACAAAAGCATAAGCTATTTTAAAGTGGCACTCACATTTGAGACAGCACGCTACGATACCAAAAGCTTATAAACAGAGAAAACCCAGACTCCAGGAAATAGACAATGTAATGCCCCAGCTGAATCAAAATTTATACCGATCACCTAGGACAGCCCTTAGCTTTTCAGACATCTGCCTTTTTAGAGAGAGGTTGTTCATAAATCACACATAGAGATGTTTAACATGAATGGTGTGGTTCGGTGATTAAGAATCTTTTCGTCAAGCAGCCCCTGGGAGAATCAGCAGCAGATGGGGTTTACACATTCCTGCCCCGGAGAGTAAAACCACACGTAAAGAATAAAGTAGTGCCAGAGAAAATGTTTACAATGCCTGAAGTAATTTGTTGTTTACATTAAATTGTATTTTATGATGAGCTTTTAGAGCAGTAGAGACCAACAGAGTTAATTGAGGGGTGAAGTCTTGGAGGAGGCAAGGGAATGGAATCAGGAAACCCACATAGAAAGTTAGTCTTTACCCTTGGAAAGGAGAAATATTTCTTTCTGGAGAGTCAGAGTGTTGGAAAAGAAGGGAGGAGAGGATTCAAAGCAGTCTGGAAGGGTTAAAGAAGAGATTTGAAGACATGAAAATTTCCTAGTGAGAGAAAAGGCAGAGGTGGGTTTAGAGGCAGCAATTCACTGTCAGGGTTTAAAGTAGAAGTCCCAAAGTCTTGCTTTAAGGAAGAATTAGTATTTGTGTTTGCAACCATTTTTAATAAGTAAATATGCAAAAGATTGAAAAGCATTTTGCTTGAGGAATTTTGTCTGTCTGTCTTAGCAAATCTTTAATTCTTGATGATATAATTGGAAGCTTCTCACCTAAAATCCTGAGGCAATTAAGGGACAACCACATTACGTAGTGGATGCACTTGTTAATGGCATCTGTACTTATATATTAAACAAGATTTTAAAAAGGAGAGGGACATAAACCAGAGTGAAATTTAGAGAATAATGCAACTGTCTAATCCACAAGTATTTTTCCAAGTGATGCACACTCCACAACTGTATTTTGCTTTTCGAGTTCTTGAATAAATGTCAAAGTGTAAATTGTGTTTTTGTAGAAAATATTCACCTATTCTTAAGAGTTATTAAATCATGTCATAAATACAATAGTGCTGTTATTGAGTGCCTATCACACAAAGAAATGTCAGGAGGGAGTTTATTTGAATTACACTAAGAAAATAAATTTAACAGTAAATTATGTCAAAGCAAAGTCTATAGAGTCAAAATTCTGAGTTACACTGTTAGCTCAGAAATAGCATACTGATCATTTTTCTGCTATGATTATCCTCTTTTTATATTGGCAAATGAGTGACATTTTATTAAATAAATTTCATCTTTGCAATTCCCAATGCAGATTTAAAGAGCATCTTGTTTCCTTAAATTCACAAGTGAATCGTGAAATATGATTTTAGAAAATCTGGGACAATGTACAGCCAGGTAAAGATACTTTACTTTAAAGGAAACTATTGGTTTGGCTTTTTATTAAACTCAAGTATTACTATACAACTAGGGCTGACTTATAATGTTAACCTCAAGAGGGAAATTGGTTGTTTTTCTAAACTTTGGTCTGCAAATTAAGCAGAATTTCAAGCTCTTGTCTCCTGATCCCAAGATGACCATTGGTCAGGGGGACATAGCACCACATCCTAAAAAAATGTCACAAGAAGCTCTGTAATGTGTTTACTTGGGAAAGCACTGCTTAGATGAAGCATCTGCTTCTTAATGAGGTCATGTTTTTATTTTGCCTAATTTTCCAGCTGGGATTATGGAGGTGCCAGGGGTTGAAAAGCGAGTCAACAGCCCACATGGGATCAGCATCTAGAATCCTTGCAGAAGGGAATCGCCAGCTCCAATAATTGGATCATACATGTTTATTCAAACACGAATCTTTATATAGATGTGATAAAATTCTTAAACTCCCATTTCAAAACATTAAACATAAATAGTAAATGTGGTATCAATTATGTAATTTGGAAGGAAGAAAAACCTAATTTTTTTCACCTT